AAAGGGCATGTTGGCTTCTATTAGAGAAGTAGCACTGTTGCCTGTCATTACAATTTCCATGCCAAGTCCTCAGGAAGATCCAAAGAAAAGACCCATTTTGATAAACTCTGAAACTAGGCGTGGTTTGCCAGACCAAAGGAACAACAACAACAACATGAAGTACTTCCGTGGCTCTCGATCACAAGGGTGTAGCCCTGATAGGATGCAACCGCTGGAGATCAAGTCAGTGTCTTCTCCTCATCTGCCAGAAAGAGATAAGCCACCATTACCTCCTTATAAAATCAAAATGAACTTCCAAGAGCACAGTGGAGACAAAAGAAGGAAAAACCAGCCTTCACATTTATACCCAGGTGTTGTTTCTCCTTCGAGGAGTGCTCCATCTTTAAACAACATCTTGAAAATGCATGATCATCTAGATTTGAGTGCTTCTAGCCCAGCCTGCATCTTGAGGTATCACAAGATACAAAATGACCATAAGAAGCACCATGTATCTATGGAGAGTGTCTTTGAACATCATCACATGTCTGCTGGGAACCATCATTCACAGATGCCAAGGAAAATGAGAGGAAAGAATTCAGAGCAACTTCTTGTTCCTTTTCTGGATCTTTCTCCACAAATTTCTCAGTGGAATGTATACAGAATGGAACCCTTATCTTCCTCCTCTCGCTCAGTATCTTTAAATGTCCTTTCATGTTCTTCTAACTCTGAAGGCTCCCATGGCAATTCCTCTGGTACTGCTATGCCGGTGAATCTGGGTTCATTTTCTAACTCTTCCTGTTTTTCTTCCAAACTTTCTCCACAAATACCAAATACAAAACAACCATTAGGTTTGCATGTAAACAATTATATATCCCTATCATCTAGCACACCTAACCTTCAATATGCTGGACAGGATTACATAAAACCAATTTGGGTGGGTAAGTACTCCCAATAATTTTCCCAGTATTACCAATAAGCTACAATGTTGTCTCATTCTATAACTAGCGTTCATCAAAAGCTCATAGCATTTCTGAAATGAATAGATCAAGCAAGGATTTTTTGTTGTTATTTTGCTTTGAGCTGCTATCATTTACCATTTGAGTAACATAACCTCTTACTAAACTATCAACAGGAGCTATGTTATTAAGAGATATTCCAGCTCTTCTCTCCTCTAACATAGTATCTGCTGCAGTGCATAAGTGCAGTATCTAAACATGAATTATATTTCTCATAACGTTATATTTTTATCTCATTTATATGCGTACATCTGGCTAAAACTCAGCTCATTTAATTTGATAACAGCATTCCATTGTTCCATCCATTCTTATTTGGTCCTGTTTCTAATTAAACATGATCAAATGCTGTTGCTCTTGCCAATCTTTCCTTGGTACTCGATAACTGAGTAGCCTAGCTACATTCTGTTCCTTGTTTTGAAAGGAACTTGAAATTGTTCATTCTCAATCTGCTGTTTTCTGTTAAATTTGAATTTAAAAATCCAGCAGATGTTTTCTTTCTTTTTGGAGGAACACAGAATAAATTAGCAAGAGTTGTATTTAGGTGTTCCCAAGAAGGAATATATATACAGTGCAAATTAGGGGAAGAATTAAAATGAAGGAATAACTTTCTTTTTGTTACTCAATGCAATATTTTTTGTTGCAGTGCTGTTTGCAATTGTCCAGGGCTTCAAGCCAAAATCTTAACTTGCAGTCAAGCAAGCTCAGCTTCTATTGGCTTGCAGTCATACAGTTTTCTTCATGGGATAAGATAGTGGTTTACCATTGCAATGTGCCATCACAAGGTGATTTGTCATTCCAAGATTTTCTGTTTTGTTTCCCAATTTAACTTGTACCCTGGATTTCACAAATTGTCCTACCCAAATGCATAAGATGTTAGAGCATCTTTAGCTCTAACCGAATGCTTTGTGGGTGATTTTGTTTTGAATTATTGCATTATCTTAAAAATGCCCATAGTCTCCCATCAACTGTTACATAACTAGTTCGCTAGATTACCAGATGCCTCTGAGATCTTCCATGATATAATCTATTATTGCACATGGATCCTCTCCCACTGTCTGAATAAAAAGACAACATATAGAACAAATAATCGAATGTATAAATAGATTCCTTCCATATTAGGGGGAGACCTAACTTTCCCTCCTACCATATGATATCAGTGTGATAGAATAATTAATAAATGAATGCTTTATTACTAATACAAATGCAATACTTGGCATTTTCTTTATATTATCAATATATCTTTTAGAAATATTTTTATTAAAAACAAGCACACACACTTACAGATCCCTGTTTTTTCAAGAATATCTTTTTTGAATACAGAAACACATTCTAATCTTTTGGAAGAATATAAATCTTCTTATATTTTTTAACATTCGTATAAGGTGATATTTTCAATCAAACTTTTCATAAGCAAACTCATTTTCTTTACTCTTTTGCTTTGAGTGCAGGTATTAGAGCTCATATTGAAAATATTTTATTTAAGTGCTTAAATAGAAAACTACTTTCTTAAGACTCATTATGTCACCCTATTGATGGACTTTCAAATCCATTATGAATCTGTAGGTTTAGCTCTTTTACTTCTAACCAGATATTATTAGGGGGGGGGGGACATTTCAGCTTTAATTCCCACTAGCAAGACATAATTCTGAGTTATCAGTCTGATGTTTGCCCTAAACTCAATGGGCACCTTGTATATTCAAAACATGTTGCAGGTTTTGTGGAGCATTTCAACATGAAGTTCAAAGGATCTTTTCCCCTATCTTGCTGTTTGTTTATCTGTCTCTCAACTTCTTTCCTGTTGGAAGGTCAGGATAGCATACTAATACTTAAGAACTTAAGAATTTTGAAGATTCCTTTCCAATGAAAAGAAGGACAAGAGTGGACATGTTCCAATATTTGAGGGGCTCCTACAAAGATGAGGGGGTCAGACTATTTTTCCAAACCACCAAAAGGCAAGACAAGAAACAATGGTTGGAAACTAACCAAGGAGAGAAGCAACCTAGGACTTAAGGAGAAATTTCCTAACAGTGAGAACAATTAATAGCTTGCCTTCAGAGGTTTTGGGTGCTCCATCCCTGAAGGCTCTCAAAAAGAGACTGGACAACCATTTGTCTTAAATGATATAGGGCCTCCTGTTTGAGCAGGGGGTTGGACTAGAAGACCTCCAATGTCTCTTCCAACTCTATTATTCTATGTTCTATACCTTCCACAAAATATACTCATGCAACTAATATCTTTTGCTGTTCAAGTTCATATTCTCTGAATTCCAAAGCAAACCAAACGAAACTTTTGCTTTGCTTTACTTTTTGCTTTGCTTTGCTTTGCTTTGCTTTGCTTAAGCAAAGAAGCCCAGTGAACCTTGCCAGCTTTCAAAGGCACTTTATGTCTCTTGTTGTCTTAAAATCCTTCTGCAAGGGAACAGATCTGTTGTAGAAGAGCGGGAAAAGGGCCATAGCTGTGGAAATATATGCTACCGATTCAGACCGGTTCACACGAACCGACAGTTTTAAAAATAAAAATAAAAAGCCTCCGATCAGCTCAACTGAGAGAGGATAAAAGACCTGGAAGGGTGGGGAGGGTCGCTCCTAGCTTTTCATTTCTTCATCTTCTCGGCTGATGGGTTTGTTTGGGGTGTGTGCATTAGGGGCATGCACACACACGTGCGTGTGCACATGTGATCACCTACCAAACTGGTAGCGACTAAGGTAGAATCCCACTACTGGGCCACAGGCAACCAAGGAAATCCGGAGTGCATTGGAAAGATGGCTGTTCTCAGCTGGTTGTAACTGCTAAAAAAAGTAATAGCCGCAAGTAATTTTATGTAATTCTACTTTATCTACAAAATCTAATCAAAGCATTTTAAACCTGAATCAGTCTAAATTAAAGGGCAGATTTCAAGATCCTTTTTATGAGCATAAGCAAAGGAATGCATGCACACCCCAAATATGTTTATGCATATCAAACACTAGTTGGGGTTTCAATTAGCTGCTGTCATGGGAGGATATGAAAAAGTAAACCTTTTGTTGCCTATAATCTGACATGCTTCATATCTGGCTGCTGCTGGCATCTTTCTTTTCTCTGGGGTCTCCAAAAATAAGATGTATTTCTCCCAAAGTTCTTTTCATTCCTTGAATAAAGAAATATTTTTATGGGCACGGCTGTCTGGGACAGGCGGGCTGTTTCATATTCCATGCATACTCAAATCTAATTAAAAGAAAAATCAAGTCCTTATTTTAAATATTGGTTGGAAATGTTAATAAAAGAGGCGGCATAACTTTACTTTGAATTCAGATTGTAAAACACTTTTTCAATCGATAGCAGCAAGGGAGTTAGGGAACATAAGTTTGTATTCCAATTGCTGCTAAGACTAATCGCAACTTAAATAAAAGTTAAACTACTTTTACTCCAAAGTGTGGTTTGTTCAACTGTTTTACCAAAGTTTATAAACGACGGTGAAAGCTTTGTGTGCAAGGTTCTGGAGAAAGATATTGTCTGTCATAAAACCCATTTGTTTCAGCTTGTTCTTAGGTCAGTGTAAATCTCTGAGGAGCTGAAATAAAATCTGCACTCAGGCCAGTGAATTTGTTGTGAATGAGATCTTCAGGACTTGAGTCCCAAGTGTGTGTTGCTTTGTGAAACTGAAATGCTGTTAAAAGTGGAGTGTTAATAGGTAATACTGTATAAGTGTATCTCATACTCAGATTTTCTGTATAAGTCTCAACGAGTGTTTGACTGATGGTTGTCTTGGGCAGAAGAGTGAGACAGTTTAAACTATGGGTTGGAAATATTAATAAAAAGACTGTATAAATTTACTTTAATTCAGATCATAACATTTGTAATAATTGATGGCAATGAGGGAACTGGGGAGCCTCTGTTTGCATCCTCATCTTTGATTTACGCACAAATAATAGTATTCTAGCTAACGTTTCCTGGAGGCATATAGAAGTAAATTTGCCATTAGGTGGGTGGCAAGCCAGTATTCACAAAATTCATAGAGATTTGTTTTTATTAAGAAGTGCTGCTGTTTACTTTCCCAGTTTTCCTAATGAACATATTTGGGAATTATAAAAGATTTGGCCTAAAATAATCCAATTTGAGTGGATTTCTCAAAGAAACAACAACATTCTGCTTGCACAAAAGATTAAAGAATTCTCTCCAACCAAAGTTGCCTTTATTAAGCCATATAGGAGGAAAGCACCTTCCAGATCAGTCTAGTTTCCTTTATCATAAATATTGCCTGCTTGAAAGCTGATTTAATTATGCAGAGCATTCTACCACATCAAACCTGTTTAATAACAAAGTGCTTGAAGGTTTGGTGACGACATCCTAGTTCATGGGTTGTTTTAATCTTGATATTCTGCCTTAATTTGCTGCCAGGGCTGGTTCGGCCTGATATTTAATGATTGGATAACATCCCAGAATGCACTGCTTTATTTCCTCAGGGACTGGAGAAAATACTTACGTGAGCTTGACTATTTTGGCAGCTTAGTCAACTGCTTCATGGTCATTTGGAGGATGGCAAACAAGAGTTGAAGTTAAAAACAAACAAGCAAACATATTTGCCATAGGAACAAACAACATTTGGAGCTATTTTCTGGCTCAGATATTGCAGTATAAAGCTATGTCAACCATGTACAGATACAATATTTTATTATTTGCAAATTTAAGTAATTTATTTCTTTTCATTAGGACTGTCTATTCAAAATTAGAAGGTTGGGTAGTGGAAGGGAAGGATGGAGCTGTGAAGGTTGTTATTCATTTTACAATGGGATGGAATTGTGTTTATTGTTAAGAGAGTGGGCAGGCCACTGAATATAGGATATTACAAGCAATGTGTTCTTGTTTTGTCCTCTCCAATTCCCACCTTTTTAAAAGATATTCTTTGAAGTTTGATGTCACAGTGGCTAGAATGCAGGCTACTTCTGCTGACTGCTGGCTATCTGCAATTTGGCAGTTTGAATCTCACCAGGCTCAAGGTTGACTTCCAGCCTTCTGAGGTTGGTAAAATGAGGACCCAGATTGTTGGAGGCAATATGCTAACCCTGTAAGTCGCTTAGAGAGGGCTGTAAAAGCACTGTAAAGCAGTATATAAGTCTAAGTGCTGTTGCTATTGCTATTTCACAGAAAGGGGAGAATGAGTCTTTCAGGAAATAAGAATCATTCCCTCTTGGCTCATTTTTTTTCTCCAAAGAAGAGTTCTTCCACTACTTCTCTGAGCATAACAAAGGCAACTAGGCAGTTGCAAGAAGCAAAGCAGCTCATAATCACACTGTCTTGCATTTGGCATCTTCAGGATAACCAGACAACATCATCCTATCTATCTAGACCTTGTTTTACCTTGTAAACCTTTTTTATAGCCTTGTCAGACTAAGAGCACCACGGAAGGTTGGTAAGCAATCCATTGGTGATGGTGAGGGTGTGTTAGAACAAATTTTTTAAATGCAAGTATCCAACAAATTAAAAATGTGCTGATTATCATTTGCAGTTGATTCAAATCTGGTATTTTGTCTGAAAGAGTTTTATTGATGGCATAATTCTTTTAATCAAGATATCCCACTGGATTCTAGCTCTGTTAATTATTACATACGTTAATAAGAGTGTATCACTGCCATTTCTTACTGAAAGCATTTGTTTTGATGCTTATGGCCTCAAAAGAGATCCAAACACTTTGGGACTTAAGTGGTAAGCTAAGGATTCGAGAGCCTCTAAAGTAGGGTTTCTCAAAGCTTTACTACTGAAGCTTTGTACTTAAACTTTACACTACTTTAAAATGTGTAAAGGCTCCCTTTGGCATTTCTGTGTAATTCTCTATTCAGGATATGCCACCTTTTTGTTCAGTCATTTGCATACATCTCTTCACAGATTTAAGGGTGTACAAGGTTCCAAGATTTTCTAGCTAGCGTTAGAAAAGATTCCTACCAAAACCCGTCAGTTTAGATAATTCAGAAGTAGATGGACCAGTGCTGTAATTCAGGTTTCAGCAACTTCTTGTGGTCCATGTATTATACCAGAACGATGAATGATCATTACAGTCTCATTGGTAGGAGGCATGACTGGAACAACACATCGCACAGAGATTCTGCAAAGTAGCCTCTTTTGAAGACAAATGCTTTGAACTTCTAGCAGTCTTTACTATTCTTTTATCTTGGTACATGGGCCATGTTTTAATCTGCCTTGATGTAAAGTTTGGGAATCTACTTTCTTGGGGTGGATGTTATCTTCTGCCCTTGCCTTCTTACTGCTGTATTTGCTCTTTTGAAGCCAAAAGCTGTTTGTTGTGTGTGTATCCAGTAAGCTGCTTCTTGGTTTCATTATGCTACATATACAGTCCCATCCCTGTAAAGTCCTCGGGATCACAAAAGCCACTAAGGAGTGGAGACTGACAAGTCGTCTCTGCATTTTGCATCTCTCCTTACCTATTTGCTCCTCCATGGGGTTTTTCTTTTCTTCTTTCTGCTGCTGGATTCAGAGCAGGAAATTTCCCAAAGATAAAATTTATGAATGGCAGGCATCTATGATCACAGCTGGTATAATCTGGCATAAAAATGAAATTTCTTGCTTTTGATTTATAATCTTCTGAAGAGCGGTAAATACCGTCTGTCTGCTTGGGCAGGTTCTGGAGGGCTGCTACATCAAGGCACGTAGGAAAATATACAAAATCTGTATAGCCATTTTAAAAAGTCAACATCTAAAATATAGCCTGCTAAATATACCCTCAAAGTACAGATTTGGAGCCAAATGCATAAAAAGAAAATAGTTGATTATGTTACCTTTTTTAAAAAGGACTTTCATATGAGGATACATATATATTTGGATTAATATCTGCACAGGCAGGGGAAAAATAGGTAAAAAAAGGTGTTGGAAATTTGTCCTGCAACCTGTTTCTATATGCATTCACTTATTACTTTTTGTCACTTTCGGTTGACTGATGTTTACTGAGTTTACAATCTGTTCAGTCTACACTTTAGCCTTCTTGCTGATTACTAGGAAACCATTTAAATTCAGCTGATTGAATATTTATTGATATGACAGGAGGTAGAACTAGACTTGAGCAAAATTCATAAACTGAGCAACTCTAACTAATTTTGTTATACTGTTTATTAATATGAAAGTCCTCTGGAGTAGCCACAATTCATAGTTAGCTGGGATTATTTTTGTCTTTGGAATGGCTGATTGGAAATACAGACTTGAGAAAATGGCTCTACAGGTTTTTAGAGGTATTACGGACAAGGCCTTCAGACAACTTGAATTCACAGCTCTTTTTTCTCCTCTTGTTTCAGGTTGAAGAACGTTCCAGACTTAACCGGCAAAGTTCCCCAGCCATGCCTCACAAGGTGGCAAACAGAATTTCTGACCCAAACCTTCCGCCTCGATCAGAATCCTTTAGTATTAGCGGGGTGCAGCCTGCTCGGACACCACCCATGTTGCGATCAGTGGATCCACAGGTATTGTGTCTTAGTAAAGCCTCCTGTTCTTTGCTTCTCAGATACAGCTCAGGCAAGAATGTGACAGATTATTTTCATCAAAGGTAATTTCATCTCTAAACAATTATCCTGTTCAACAAACATTAACATTTCAGAACAACACAGTCAAATTCTGCTTGTAGTTTGACTAATTCAGTTCCACTACCCAGGGTCTGTTTTCTCCTCGTCCCCTTATCTGAGAGGAAAATAAAAAAAATGTAGTCTAACTGTCACAACCACCATATTATCCACTGGATAGAGAATTATAATGAGAATAAAATTAGGGATTTTTACTCGTTCTGATATTAAAGTTAGTAGAACAGTAGCTATCTCTCCATTGTTTGGGGTCATTCAGACCTAAGAGATGTTCATGAAAATGCTGTTTGAGGAGGCTGATGAATAAGAAGCACAAGTCCATCCCTTACTTTTCTGGGAGAAAATGTAATCCATGAAGCTGCTTTTGAGACAGCAGATTTCATCTGGACTTGCCTCCATTGGCCTTCAGGAGAAAAAGCAGTGGCAGTGGAAATTTTTGGATGGCTGAGTGACCAGAAATAACAGTGGGGAAGTCACAATGGGTTAGAAAGAGAACTTGTAGGCAAGATAGGGAGGCAATGTGGGTCAAATCTTGACCAAAAATCAGTCCTTCTGCACTTGTGATTTAGACAGTCAAACACACATTGAGGTAACCATACGGTTGGGGGAATGAAAAATGTTATCAATCTGTTCTTAACCTTTCTCTTTGGGAGAGAGGTCAAAAGTCAAGTCATAAGGAAACATGCTCCAGGAACTCTGATAAAGAGGAATGTTTAAATAGTGTTTCCAGTAATGTGGAATTGTGTCTTATCATTTTATCTTTTGGGATAAGCAGTGGCATGCATAATCAGAATATCTCGTTCAAATAACATAGATTTCATTATTATTTAAAAAGCCTAGACCCTGTGAAGCTATTCTGGAATGCCCAAGCTGCACGTGTGTTTGTCACACGCTCCAAACTCCACATAATTATATATGTTATATATGCAAATTATATATTTGCATAATACATATTTAAATAAATTGTGAATGTGGCATAATGGAAGTATATACTGTAAGATATCGGCATATTTGATGGATATCCTGAAAATCTGCTCTGGAGCAAATTTGGATTTGTTGCCTCTTAGAGGCAACTCCTTGGTAATATGAGTGAAATTAATAGTACCATATTTGTCTTTGCATTTCCATGGTTCCATTCATAACCTCATCATAAGTTCCACTCCAGATCATCCCTTTTTCTCCTTCATTGTGCAAAAAAAAACAACAACAACAACCCACGTGCTTCTACATTAGTTAGCTTGCTTACAGGGCGATAAACCAGTGTTTTCCATGAAAGAGAAATTAGAAGATAACATATAAAATGCTGCTTTGGTCCAGGATGGCAATTCTTCCAGCTCAGTTGACCCATTCTTCCAATTAAAATACTGAAAAACAAAATATTGGCCAAGGTTTTTGTTTGTTTGTTTATGTAATTGCTTTTTTTTTTTTTTTTGCATCCTTTTTAGATGTCATTTACAGCATGGAAATTGAGTGTTTGTGGGAAAACTAAGGAAAATACATAGTGTCCAAGCCACTTTTGTGTCAGGTGCAAGCAACCAAAACCACTTGTGAATAGTCTCAAGCAAAAGCTTTATTGTTAGTCCCATTGTTACAAGAATCTTGCCAGACTGAATAAATTTCCCTGGTGAATGGTCAGATAAGGCTTCAGGGATTCTCAGGGAAGTCAGGTCTGTGCCACTTTCTGCAGTGCAAGGATTCTAAGCTAAGCTCCCACTTAACGCCTCCCTCTAGTCTAGCTGGAGATTCCATCACACTTTGCCCCTAAAATAATACATAGAATTTAATATCTTAGAGGAGGTATCAATAAGCAACTGCATACAGCAGACTAAATTATGAGGTGCATTGGGGTTCTGGTTTTCCTTCTTGTGTGAACTATTAATTATTGTTGGTAAGGATTTATGGCTTAATGTATTATATAGACCCAGCCGGTATGGTGAACATACCATGGATCAGGCAAAATAAGACTTAGTGTCAACATGACCTGTGTCTGCCCAAATGATATTTAGACTCATGGCTTTATTTTCTCTTGTAGCTGTCAAACCAATTGCAAAGTTTCTTTTTCCTGTTTCTATTTTGGCAACTCAGTGCAACCAAAATGAGGAGCCACCAGCCTTGCAGATGCCTTTCTGTACACAATTCCTAATCATTATAATGTTATAGTAATTTAAATGCAGAAAGCGTTACACTTTTTGACAACTCACCTGAAACACCTGAAAACAGCCACTCCACTTTTTGAAATGTTCTTTTAAAATAAAAAAGCTGAACACCATGGATCTGACACACCAAACCAATTGGTGGAAATAACAACAATAATATATGGAAAATCAAGTTTCCTTTGTTTCTAGATATCATAGACCATACCAAACGAAACAAACATTTCATATGTAACTTTCTTACATCATTTCATAAATAACACATTATCATTTAACTAAAAAAAATATGCTTTAATGGAACAGAATTCAGGCCAAATAAGGAATCTCATCTTTGGCATTTCCTGACCGTCATCCACTTATTATTGAACAATCTGAATTTTATTTTAATTTTTTAATCAAATTCATTTTTAAAAAACTAAAAAAACTAAAATAAAAATTGGGGAAACACATTTTTTTTTAAAAAAAAAACATGCTTCATTATACTCTTTTTAATAACTTTTTTTTCCCAATTTATACTTATGACTTTGTTTTAACTTGGTGCATAGATTCCACATCTGGTCAGTGTGAAATCCCAGGGACCTTCCTTGCCTGCCTCTCACTCACTGCATGAACAACCCACAAAGGGAATGGCTGGGTTTCAGGAAGCTCTAACGGTGACCTCTCACCGCACTGAGATGCCAAGGCAGAACTCGGACCCCACTTCTGAAAAGCCTCCTCTCCCCCCTCGTGTTGAAAAGTTTGATCGAAGTTCTTGGTTACGACAGGAAGAAGACATTCCACCAAAGGTAAAAAAAAAATAAAAAATAAACAAAGGAATCATGCTAAGTAGCAAAATTAGGAATAGGAAATAGCTTAGACGTCTGTGGCGGCGCTGCAAATCTTTCCGGTGGCACCAGGGACTCTTTCCCAGTATGACCCTGGTGACTCCTACATTTGAAAGGGCCAAATACATTAATACTTGAGGACATGCTTCAAATTCCTTTGAGAGCAGTAACTGTAGCTCTGTGATAGACCACAAAAGGGTTCCAGGTTCAGCCTCTATTAGAATTAGAGGCTGAACCTGGAACCCTTTTGTGTTCTATCACAGAGTTTGAGTTGCCAACATCCGGATGCCTGCTAGATGGCAGCAAGGAGATACCATACATAAACTATATAATTGCTACTCTGAAGTGGTTGCCTGGTTTTGCTTTTGCTTTTTTTCAATCCAGATCTGCATCTAAATGTAGTCTCCAACAGTTCACTTCATTCATTCTTTCATTCATTCATTCCATTTATATACTGACCAAATCTAAAGACTCTTAATTATTTGCAGTAAAACAAATACTATGAAAACAAAAGCACAGAAAATCTAGTTTCATACATGAAGAGGCAACTGAGATGGAATAGGTTGCCCTCAGAGTTTCTACCAAAGAACAAATTCATCAAGCAAATACAATGCCCATTTTCTGCAGCTGAGAAGCACCCTTGGTTTTTTAATACCGTATCAGAGCCATTTTCCAAAAAAAGCAGTTAGTGGGGCCATATGAAAATAAAATTGGTTTTCAGTTTCAATGTAATTATAATTAGAATCAATATATAATATCCCTTCTTTAGATTGCATTTAATAATTATCTCCTTTAGTCTAATTGCAGCGTAATAGACTCTAGATATTTTAGGGTGAGGTGCAACCTTATGACCTCAGGTTATGAGGCAAATGATGATGATCTGGATAAAACCAAATAAAAAATCTTTGATTTTCCATAGCTTCTTGGCACGAGTCCACTGCATAGTTAAAGAAATCCATTGGTAGCTATTGACTACCTGTTAGAGATGTGTATTAATTCAGTTTTTAAACTATAATGGCAGAAGCAATGAAGTTTTCAATCTGGAGGCACTACCTCCAGATGGTAGCCATGTCTTTTCTGTAAATAAGCAAGGAAGCTAATACAAAAGTTTATATTCCCATAACTTTCCTAATCTGAACCCAAAATTATTCTGGACAGGCCCTCTTTCCCATAAGAACTAAGGGCATAAAACATTTTATACAAATAATCAAAGTTAGGCAGGCTTACCAGCCCATTCTCAACTGTACATAAAGTCTTTGACTTACAACACAACTAGGCCCAAAATTTCTGTTGCTAAGTGAGACATGTGTTAAGTGAATTATGCCCCATTTTATGACTTGTCTTGCCACGGTTAAGTGAATCACTGCAGTTGTTAAGCCAGTAACACAGTTGTGAAGTGAATCTGGTTTTCCCATTGACTTTGCTAGTCAGGAAGGTTGAAAGGTTGTAGGGACATTGAAATCATCAAATATATGAACCAGTTGCCACACATCTGGATTTTGATCGTGGGGATGTTGCAATGCGTCGTAAGTGTGAAAAATTGTCATAAGTCCCTTCTTCCAGTGCCGTTGTAACTTCAAATGGTCACTAAATGAACTATCGTAAGCTGAGGAATACCTGTACGAGTTATTTTTTCACCTATATAGAAAATAAGGGCGTTTGGCTGGATTTGCTGTTCTGTCTTTAATCAAATGATCCTAGAGTCGAGTTACATTGGGGGTGGGGGTTGGATTCTCTAACACAGAGGTCTCCAAACTTGGCAACTTTAAGACTTGTGGACTTCAACTCCTAGAATTCTCCAGCCGGCTGGAGAATTATAGGAGTTGAAGTCCACAAGTCTTAAAGTTGCCAAGTTTGGAGACCCCTGCGAATGGAATACACCAGCCAAGGCAAAAAGCAGATATCGAAACCAATTATTGCTGCATGGAATCTGAGGCAGGAATAAGATATTGGTCTGAACACAAATCCTTAACAGCATTCCCCAGCATTATTTTGGCTACGGAGCTCCAGGTTACAGCATCAAGCCGTTAATAAAAAATATGCATGAGATCAATAGACTGTGCTAGTGATATATAATATAAAAGACTGTTGCAATAATGTTGCAGAAGATGCGGCATGTCTGTCTTTTGGCTTCCCTTCCCTCTCACTCCCAGCTTTGCATTTAGAAAAGAAACCTGCACTAAGCATAAAACTTGCCATACTGGATCAAACCTGTAAGCTTTCCAGGCTGACATCATGCCTCCAGATACAATCAATATTAGTTAGAATATTGTACAAACGCTCCAGAATCTTAATGCTTTCATGATTTGATGGCAGCAGTAGCTCTTTAATTAATGTGGTTCCATAGGCACTGACTTAGAATTAAGTCCCACTGAAATACATGGGACTTTCTCCTAAGGAGGTGACTATTGGGTTGCAGTCTAAGGCTGTGTTCCAAACTAATGCAGATACTGCTTTGTTTTCATTAAGGCTCTCATAAAAACAGTGTCTCTTTCATGCTGAATCTTGGATTGCACAAATATGAACAGAAAGAAAAAACAAATAGCTGATTGATTAAATGCAGAGATGTCCCTTGTGTGTGTATGTGTGTGTGTATGTGTGTGTGTGTGTGTGTGTGTGTGTGTGTGTGTGTGTATGGTATTCAGCTTGCATCGGTGTCATGAATAATTTATATAGTATTTACCGAGAAAGATTAGGGATTTGCCCCTCAGATAATTTCATTTCAAAATAAGAAGGTCACCTTAGATTCCCCAGGAACAATGGTGAAGAAAACAAGCGACGTTTTTGTGTCCAATCTTAAAAGGAGAAAATTGTCTTGAATTCGGGATTGTCTTTGCAATTAGGTAATTGACCAATAAGATGACCACAGAGAGACTTCCAACCGGCTTAGAGATGGAGCTCTCAGTTAGCTGCATTTTAGAAGCATGACCTGTGGGTAATGTGCTAAATTGCTTGAGCTGTGACATCAACAAAAGTTTAATCCCCTGAGATTAACACTGAAAATAAATTATTCACTTGAAGTAGAGAGGCAAATAGTTATAAAGTACCCTTTTCTTTTCAAATAAAATTACATGCAGTTAGAAGCAGATTGTCCATAGAGATTCTCAGTCATCTAGGTCATAGTTATCCCAAACGTGCTTTTTCAAAAGGCAACTGGATTTTATTTTTCCTTGAAGATGTTTTGCTTCAAGAAGCTCCTTCAGTCTTCAAGGAAAAATAAAGTCCAGTTACCTTTTGAAAAAAGTACCGTCAGGCCCAGATTATTTATAAAGCCTTTGTCCGTGAAGAGTGTACAACAGATTTTATTTTGAAATCTTCCGTGTATGATGTTATTTGTGAAATGCTCCATTTTATTGGCAAAGTGATTGCATTGAACATGTTGGAAGCATTAGAAAACACCCCTTATTGGAAGCACTAAAAAAATGTCCACGTGCTGGAAACACAAGAAAATGCCTTATAGATTATCTGATGATGACACAGAGGATTTTGCCTTTTGTGGCACCGATGTCATGGCATACCCTCTCTTTCTGTGTTACACCAGCCCCAATAATGACATGTTTCTCACTTCTCTTTTAAAAAAACTACAACACACCTTTTTACATCGACATCTTTATTACTAACTCTGCCTAACATTCCATTTAAAGGATATTTTTTCCTGTGTTCTTACTCCATTTTTATTTTACTTTTTTTTCTACCATAATGATATGGTTATGGAAAATGGCCTCAAGGTTTTCTGTAATTAGAAGGATTATAAAAAATATTATCATTCCATTATTTCTGCCACCACTAATAATAACAACACATGGTTCATCAGCTCAGCAGCAAAATCCACAGAAGTTACAGTTAGGGTACGTGTCTATTATACAACATTCACTGCATAGAACTCTGTTCCATTTCATCACATTTTAAGTCGCCATAACGGTGGAATGGAGTTACCTTCATTCCTATTCAGACCAGTTCAGAACTAATTTGTTGTTTGAGATCACAAACCATCACAGGAACATCTGTGCATAATTAAAAATCTGAATGTGTATATTATAGTCAAATCTACCTCTCATAACCATTTGTGTAAATAATCATCAAGTATTTGTATATTCATAATGTCTTTTTCTCTTTAAACAAGGCCATTGCTAAACAAGCTATTTTATGGCTTGCTTTGGAAAAGGGCTGTATTTCAGATGTACTTTTTATGAAGGAAGATCCCAAGCTCAGTCCTTGGCATCTCTAGTAGATATAGAAAGAAAATTTTAACTAAAACTGAGTGGCAGCAAAAAAAAAAAAAAAAACTTCATCCAACTGATGGTGAACTACAGTTCCCATTATCCTTCATGACTGTGCTGGCTGTATTGTTGAGACCCAAGTTCCAATAATTAGGGATGGGCTTCAAAATTTTAGCAATGAGTTAGGTTGCTGGGTGTGTGTGCCCTAGTCAGCATCCTGCACCACAGTGGGGGGGGGGGTGTTTTTGCCCTCCTCGGGTTCCGGAGTTTTTCCTCGAGCCTTTGGGAGGGTAAAAACTGCCTCCCCAGGCTCTGGAACAGAGGTGGTATTCAGCAGGTTCTGACAGGTTCTGGAGAACTGGTAGAGGAAATTTGGGGTAGTTCGGAGAACCAGCAAATACCACCTCTGACCGGCCCCGCCCCCATCTATTCTCTGCCTCCCATTGAATCCCAACTGATCAGCTGAGTCTTCTTTGGTTGCCCTGCAAAGGAGAACAGAGCTGGAAAGCAGGTTAGTGGGGTGGGGAGGGAATGGGATTTTGCAGTATATCCTTCCCTTGCCATGCCCACCAAGCCACGCCCACAGAACCGGTAGTAAAAAATTTTGAATCCCACCGCTGCTCTGGAGGCTCTCTGGAAGCCTTCCCGAACTTCTAGGAGGCCCGTTTTTCACCATCCCTGAGCCCTGCACTTACCTGCATCCAAAACGGGCTGTGTGAGGAATCCTGGGAGGGTTGGGGTGGATGGGACGGGGCCAGCCAGGAGTTGGGGGTTCTCCAAACTGCACACAATCTTAGCTAGGGGCTCTCCCGAACCCTTGTGAACCCCCAGCAGCCCACCCCTGCCAATAATATTTGGAAGGCCAACCACCCCACACTGAGGATAGACAATACTGATCTAGATGAACCAATTATCTGGCTTAAAATAATGCAAGTGCAATTACATATTTGATATTCGCATCTCCGCCTTGCTTATTATTACTATACTTGTATGGCCTATCGTGCTAATGCTCCATTGAATTTTTGTACATCTTGGTTTTGAGTTAGCGACTGTTAGAATCTTCCAGTGGCTGTTAATCCCCAGGCTGACGTTAAAATCAATAGTGTTGCTGCACTTCTACTCTGCAGTCAATGCCTCATTATAATAACAAAATACTATCCTCATTAGTGTCATTGTAATATAATAAGTCTTGGACCTGGAATCAGAAGATCCCGATTCTAGTTCCCATTCAATCATAGAAGCTCACTGGATGATAACTACAGGCCACTTGTGGCCGCTCAACCCAACTCTTTTCATTGAGTTCTTGCTGTAGGGGTAAAAGAAAAGAAAGACCCCCTACGTAAGCCACTTCAAGCTCTCAAAGAAAGTGCCTTGCTTCTGATGAAAAATCAATGTTCTCTCTGTTTCCGTGGGACACATTAAGACAGTCCTCCAAAAATCTTGGAATTTTTAGTTCACATATAATACTTTCTGCAAATCAAATATTGGTGTGGCAACTTAAAGATCATCAAGCCTTGATTGAAACAAGTAAGTTACCCCATGGAATTAAAATAAATGCATTTCAGATATGATATTTTATGTCCTTAACAAGGTGCTGTGAAAACCAAGTGCAGTTTATAATTGCTTCATTGAAAAAAAAATACTTCCATCTTTCCAGAAGAAATTAAAGCACATTTCACTGGCAAATTTGCCTAACCTGGTAGTCATTACCTATAATACATTGGTTATAATCTGGGAGGGTCTGTGACAATTTGCCACGGCCAACTTGCCACAGCCAACTCTCCTCAGGACAACTTGCCATGGCCAACTTGCGATGGGACAACTTGTGCATGTGCATGACAAAAATTAAAATACTTTTTATTTCTTTTAAATAATTAAATCGAATTGTTAAATTGTCCAGTGGCAATTGCCCCACAGCGAGTTGGTAGTGGTAAGTTGGCCACAGCTGGTTGTCTCATTTCAAGTCTGGGAGCCTACTTCTGGCAGCAGAACTTCAGTAGCCAGTACGCTTTGGGTTTTCTTACAGGTGCCTCAACGAACTACTTCCATCTCACCTGCATTAGCTCGGAAGAACTCACCTGGGAATGGGAATGCTCTTGGACCTCGACTCGGATCACAGCCCATAAGAGCAAGGTAATGCCAACTAAGATAAAACTTAATGTTCATACATCTAAAGTGCTAGATTTAGAAGAGAGAGACAGTTGAATATTCTGTGGAGGAAGAATGTCTTATTTCCTTTCCCCAACCTTCTTGTAGACAAGAGGAATGTAGCAAGTTAGGGAACCTTCTACCCTATTCAGATAGTGTTGAACAGTGGTGTTCAGTGGGAGAGCACATATTTTGCATGGCAGTTCTGTCCTTGCCATCTTTAGTTTTAAAAAAGCTCAACGGAGCATGAACATAATGGACACATGCATGGAAAGAGCCTTGCTGGTTAGAGCAAGATCCCATCAAGCTCAGTGTTGTGTCATAAACAGGTAACCAGATGTATTTGGGAAGCTCATAAATCTTCATAAAATTGTGATAGCCCTTTTTCCACTGTTGTTTCCTAGCATCTGATATTTAAGATAACAGTTACTTATTTGCTACCTGTGTTCAAGGAAATACCTAATAATGGGTTACCAAGACAAGTAACTATTGACTGTCCTCTCCATGATTTTGTCTAGATTCCACTAAAATCTGCCTAAGCTAATGGTCCATCACAGTATCTGATGGAAGCAAATTTCACAATGTGTCTCTTAAGAATTTTTCCCCCCCAATCCCGAATCTTCCTACATGTAATTTTAGCAGATAACTACACTGTGAAATGGAGGGAAACCTATTTGCCTCCGTAGTGGCATCAATTAGCCCCTCTTCCCTTCGGTTGATCTTGAGTTCAAAAACCCCAGTTGCTGCAGTTTTTTAATTTTCCCTTTTTTGCATCTCCTCTGGTATTGTTTATATGTTGCCCGGCACCTTTTCAGATATTGCCTAAAGTTTTGGGGAGCCACTGGCCTTCAGAGTAGATTATTTATTTATATTTCAGATAGAAAGATAGGTAGGTAGGTAGATAGATAGATAGATAGATAGATAGATAGATAGATAGATAGATAGATAGATAGATAGATAGAT